TTGTTGGATTGGTTATTTTATAAGCGTATTTCTCCTGTTGGCCTCTTCAGTAGTAATTGAGCAACTCCTGCGTTTGTTCCTCTGGCATTAGGCCACTTTTGTGGCAGTGACCTTCAGGTTTGCTAAAGGCTGCAATTTTGCCTGCGGCCCTCCTTCCTTATGAAATTACACAACACTCAAACCTTGGAAACAGCTCCAGATCCACTGATTGTTTTCTTTGACAGACTCTTGGCAATATATTCTCCCTTTCAGCCAAAGTATAGCTTTATATAAGATTTATTTGTCGCCAAAATTAATTTGGCCATTTTCTCTTTAGGCCTGGAATTAAATGGTATTACGGCAGACTCATTCCTAGATAAAAGTATAGAATCTCAGCTGGAGAGTTTCTCCCGAAGGTTTTATTCCTGCTGAATGTCAACAGGTAATTTTTATGGGACTTGTGCCTGTGACAGGTACAGTGCAGCTCAGTGTTTTGTATACATCATCTCACTCAACTCTCATAACCCCCTTAGAAGAAGAAGGTACCTGAATATTTCTGAAGAAGAAACAAGCTCATGACCTCAGCTCCTTGAGCATTACACAGTAAGTGGCCAAACTAGGAATTGAACCTTATACTTTTAATTATCATGCTATGCTCTACTATGAAGAAAGGAAAAAAAGATCATTGAGTTTCAAGGGAGCATAGAATCAGAGCCTGAGTCATAAAATTGTAGGATGAAATTATAGAACCCTGAGAGCTAACGCAACCCCCTCATTTTAAAGGAGCCATGGTCTCTGCCTGTTCTGAGAAGTAGTAAGATAACACTTGAGCAGAGGAGAAAAGATATTAATGGGTGGCAGGAATGAAGTTATTAGGAATTAACTCAGTCATTTCCTTTTTTAGAGGTTAAATAGCAAGCTTATTCAAAGAATGATCTAAGCTTGTGCAGTCCTTAAGAAACAGAGGAAACAGATGTGTATTCTTTATTTCAGACTTCATTATCCACAGTAAGTATATTTCCACTGACTACTTGAGATTTTCTAAATGGTAATTTTCACCCTGCAAGGAACCAATAACTTTCAGAGGGATTATTTGAAAAGACTACATACAGCGGAGGAAGCACTGAATTTCGATCAATCACATGTTTAACGAGCTCCTTCTCTGCAAGGTGATATTTTTCCAATGGATGTTTTTCTAGTGGAAAATAAAAATAAGTTAATAGGTGGTCCCTGCCTTCCTGTGATTTATAATCTACTTGGGCAAACCAGCCAGGCATAGAATTAAATTATTCAAAGGAAAAAAAATCTCAACAAACTGGGTAATCAGAGAAAGCTGGAATGAGATCTTGATAGGTGGGGAAGTGGCTGAAGGGGACAGAAGATATTTAGAAAGAAAAGACTCACGTTTCACCCACTTCCAGTGTGGGAGACACTGACTGGGTGAGTTTGGCCAATCTGAAAGTATTGAAAGAAAATGTTGAGCCAGATGCTGGTGGCTCACACCTGTAATCCTAGCTACTCAGGAGGCAGAGATCAGGAGGATCACAGTTCGAAGCCAGCCTGGTAAATAGTTCTTGGAAAAAAAAAACACACACACACACACACACAAGAAAAGGGCTGACAGAGTGGCTCAAGGTGTAGGCTCTGATACCCAATACGCAAAAAAGAAAATGTTGAAAAGTACATTTAGGACTGGCAGAGTGGCTAAAATGGTAGAGCACCTGCCCAGCAAGTGTAAAGGCCTGAGTTCAAACTCCAGTGCCACCACCACCAAAAAAAAACCAAAAGTCCATTTGGCTTCTGATGGAGGGCCTATGTAAATACACTTTGATAGTTTGCGGGTTTGTTTATGGATATATTTTTAAAAATGTTTTAAGGAGTTGGGTGCCATTTACTCATGCCTATGATCCTAGCTACTCATGAGGCAGACCTCAAGAGGATCCCAGTTCGAAGTCAGCCTGGGCAAATAGTCGGAGAGGCCCGGTCTCAAAAAACCCATCACAAAAAAAGGCTGGTGTAGGCAGCCCAGTACCACAAAAAAAAAAAAAAAAGTTTTAAGGAACACTCCCTAGTAATTCAAATACCTGTCTCTTACCTTCCCTGCTCCCAGGGTTAAATATTTTGTTACATAACTTGTTATCTTATGTAAGTGCCCTCACTATTACTTAGATCTGTGACTTCCTCCAACTCTATTGACAAAAAGTCGTGATACTTTTGGAAAGAATTTCCAGCACTTCCCTTTTGCTATAAAGGTGTCCTCAAGTTCCTGTCCCCTGGGTGATGACATATGCAGAAATGCTTTAAAAAGGTGCACATACTCTAAGGAATCAGCTGCCAAATGCTCTCTAACAAGCAATATTTTCACAGAACTCAGGCCTCTGGGGGCTCACGCCTCAGCTGGAGTAAAGCCAGAAATGTCTGTGACTGCAGGTGCACTCGGGCACATTGGGACCTGCTGCTGGCTTCACCGAAGTTGATTTAGAAGAGGGCGGGAGGGTTGAGCTTTTGCTGACATTTGCAGCTTGGAAAATCCTGCCCCACTAGTTGCAAAGAAGATTCTGCTGTAATGATTTTTTTCTTTTTGTAAGATACATTTCTCATTCTGAATTCTGCCTTCATTTGGCTCTGGATGCTTCCCAGCCTTTATTTTTATTGTTTTAACCCCTGTTTCAGGAGGCTCTTTGGAAGTTTCTGCCTGCACATGAATGTGCTTTCACAGAATGGGGCATGGCTATGACATATTAGCTTCAACGTATACTTCCTGAGCAGTCAAGGAAAACGGCCCTTTTACAGGAATTAATGCACATTCTTCTGCTTGCCCCCTGTCCCTGCTCAAAGGAAACCTGGAGATTTTGCTTGTGCTGCTGAAAAAGTTAGAGGGCACCTTGACCTTATGGTTTTGCTGAGGGCTTATCTTCTGACAATGTGTTTCTGGACCCTCATTTTTTGAAGTTTGAGGTGTATAGTGAATACAGTATTAGACCAAGAGGCTGGGAGAGCTAAATTTGTCTCTGCACTCTCACTGTGGACTTTGTTCCAGAGTCTTTGGCAGTTTAAGTTCTGAGTTTCCTTAGAACTTCCTTCATAGCCCATAAAGCTGGAGAAGTAGTGGATTATGGCATGGGACCTCTCTGAAATTGGATGAAAATCATGGGCTTGGAAATACACCTCAGATTTTGTAAATGCCACAATGTACCCCCACCTAGCACAATTTAAAGAAACTTTTAAAAATATACCCAAATTTTATATACAGGGATGTTCATTTACACATACCCCAACAAAAGTGATGGCCTCCATGCTAAAACAGTCAGGTCTAGCTGAGCACTGGTGGCTCACACCTGTAATGCTAGCTACTTAGGAGGCTGAGATAGGAGGGTTTCAGTTTGAGGCCAGCCTGGACGAATTGTTCGTGAGACCTTCCTCTCCAAAATGACCAGAGCAAAGTGGACTGCAGGTGTGTCTCAAGTGATAAAGTGCCTGTTTTGATAGCACAAAGCCCTGAATTCAAACCCCAGTACCACCAAAATAAAAAACTTCTACAAAATCCAGTCCAAACTCTTCAATATTTGATTATATGAATCTCCTTTTCACACTCATATCCTGACACTTCACTGACCCTATGTTCTGTTCACCTTGGAATGCTGGTATCTTCTTAAGTAACAATCTGTGATGGTTAACTCTATGTGATGACTGGGCCAAAGAATGCCTAGATAACTAGTGAAAAATTTCTGGGTGTATCTGTGTGGTGTTTCTGAAAAAGATTAGTGATTGAATGGTAGACTGAGTAAAGAAGATTCCCCTCATCAACATGGGCAGCTATCAGTTGAGGGATGGAATAGAACAATTCATTCAGCTTTTACTGGAACATCTTTCTTTTGTCCTCAGACTTTGGGACTGTCCTCTCCTTGGGACTGGCACCAGACTTACATCAGCACTTCTACCCCCTCTCAGGCCTTCAGGTTTAGCCTTCCAACATTGCCTTCTCTGGTTCTCAGGTCTTTGGGCCTGGATTCATCTTTGTTGGTACTGGGGTTTGAACTCATGCCTTCATGATTGCTAGGCAGGAGCTCTACCATTTGAGCCATGCCTCCAGCCCCAGGCTTGGCTTCAAAGCCCATCATCCAACTTTCCTAAGGCTCCGAGTTTGCAGATGGCAGACTGTAGAATTTAGCCCTCATAATCCTGTAGCCAATCCCTCATAGTCTATGTGTCTGTGTATCTTACAGGTCTGTTTATCTGGAGAACCTAAAACATCATGCTGCAAATAGCTTTGAGGCTTCCCTATTATGGCTGCAAGGCTTAAGACGATATGGTCCCCTCTAATTAAAGACAAGTAAACAGGTGATTACAGAGTGACAAAGCCTTGGATCCATGCCTCTGGACCTTTGCTCATGCTTTGCCCTCTGCTTGAGCCATTTCCTCCATTGTCATCTCTGTAAAGCTGACCCCAAGCCCAACCAAATGCATTTTCATGGTATTGGGGGACTGAACTAAGGGCCTCCCACTTGCTAGCAAGAGCTCTACCACTTAAGCCATGTCCCCAAATGTTTTTTTAATTCTGTTTTAGGGGTGCTTTCTACAGTCTGTTAACCAGAGTATCACACCTACTTGGTTGCTTCTGTGTTTTCCGTTCCCACTAAACCACAGTTCTGTGCTGTGGTACATTTTATTCAGCTTATCTCCAAGGGCCTCAAAAGGAGCTGGAGCACAGGGGTGAGCACTCAGTACCCACGGAATGAACCAATCAATGCAAGAGTGAATGTGCCACCCAGTCCTGCAGGCTCGAAAGCGCTTCTCCAAGCTGATCTTGTTTCTGTGCCCGGAAAGTTCTCGTGGTAGAGGTCAGGAGTTTTGGGGGACTGTGGGAGAACCAACAGAAGCTCAAGCTGCAAGGGATCACACATCTTCACCTCCCGGAAGCGGCTGCGTCGGCCTCTCCCCACCCCTCCGGAAGGTGGGCGTGGCCCTCATGAATAATAAATTCCTCGGAGGAGGGGCCGGCCCCGCCCCCTCGAGCGGGAAGGGGGAAGCGCCGAGGGTTGCCTGACTGGAATGAGGGTAGCTGCGACGACTGCGGCGGCGGGAGCGGGGCCGGCCATGGCGGTGTGGACGCGGGCTACCAAAGCGGGGCTCGTGGAGCTGCTTCTGAGGGAGCGCTGGGTCCGAGTGGTGGCCGAGCTGAGCGGAGAGAGCCTGAGTCTGACGGGCGACGCCGCGGCGGCCGAACCCGAGCCGACTCTGGGGCCGACAGCGGCGGCTTTCAACGGCCTCCCGAACGGCGGCGGCGCGGGCGATTCGCTGCCCGGGAGCCCAAGCCGTGGCCTGGGGCCCCCGAGCCCTCCCGCGCCGCCGCGGGGCCCCACGGGCGAGGCGGGCGCGTCGCCGCCTGTGCGCCGGGTGCGAGTGGTGAAGCAGGAGGCGGGCGGCCTGGGCATCAGCATCAAGGGCGGCCGCGAGAACCGGATGCCGATCCTCATTTCCAAGATCTTCCCGGGGCTGGCTGCAGACCAGAGCCGGGCGCTGCGGCTGGGCGACGCCATCCTGTCGGTGAACGGCACGGACCTGCGCCAGGCCACCCACGACCAGGCAGTGCAGGCGTTGAAGCGCGCGGGCAAGGAGGTGCTGCTGGAGGGTGAGCGGGGCCGGGGCTGTGGCGAGCGGGGCCGGGGCGGCGGGCGGGGTCGCGGCGGCCTGGGCAAGCGGGAGCGCACTTTGTTTCTACCACCTTGTCCCCTTTGCAAGGTGAGCCGGCTCCCTGCGCCTCTTCCAACCAACCACCCACCCCAACACACCCTCCCGGGGTTTCTGAGTTTGGAAAAACTGATGCACCTCTTTGCAAGAAAAAGTTGGGCAGCCGCTCGAGTGTGGTTTGCAGCCCCTAATGAAAACTCAGCTATTTAGAAAAACAAAAACAAACAAACAAACAAACAAAAAAGAACAAGCCGCGTCTGCCAGGCACCCCTCTGCAGGATAAGCTGACACTAAGAATTGCGGGGACAACCGATCGGCTCGGGTTTTGTAGGTCTCCTTTCGCCTGCTGAGAAGTGCCGGTTTGGCGCTTTCTTCACTCACCTCTGGCTCCCCCGGCGGACCGATCTGTTTAAAAAAAAAAAAAAAAATCCACACCAATGCCAGCGGTATGCTTGGGCAAACCACCAAAGCGCTGGCTAATTTATGGGAATTTAATCCATCATTGGCTCTCAACAATAACCAAAAGAGATCATAGCAATTTACTGAAGGCAGAGAGCTGAAGCAGCAAGTTTGTGTGGTTAATGACCCTTGTTTAACAGTGGAGGCTCACGTGTTTGAACATTACTGCCAAGTAGAGTTTTGCCCCTTTTGCAAGGGACTGGTGCCAGCTTCCTACCACTCACAGGCGTGCTGCTTCAAGACTTCCTGTAAGAAACTTGAAATGGTACATCACAAGATAGATTTGCCTAGCCAGGATTGTTCTTTAAATTTATATGTGATCTGTGTCCTAGATCGCTCCCGGTGACTTTTATGGAACCAAGGCAGAATTAAATCTCATCTCCAAGGACTCATGCGTCTTGGAGGTGATAGACTATTGTAAATACAAAGTCAGTTGCATACTTCAGAAACTTTTGAGCGATGAAAGCGTCCTTTTCACTGTTGTTTCAATCATTCCAGGAGCATCTATTGCTAGTTCTATGTTAAAGAATATAAAAGATGCTGTCTCTACTTGATTTCAAGTTAGGGAAATGATAGAAATACAAAACAATTTATACGGAGGCAAAACATCAAGTACTTGATTATGTAGTGTAAACTATATGTAAATGCTAGGGTAATTCAAAGTTAGGAAGTATTTGGTGGAATTAGGACTAGTCAGGGAGGACTTTTTCAAGAAACTGCATCTTAAGCCAGGTAGGTGTCCAAGGAAGTGATGGACACAGATGAGCAGAGATGAGTCAGGAAGGATTCCTGGCAGAAGGAGAGGGAAGAGCAGGGTGGGGGAGATACAGCTCTCAAGTTGAGAGGCCCGAAATCTAACTTGGCAAAATCATTAGCACTTTTTTTTGAGACAGGGTCTTGCTGTTGTAGCTCAGGCCAGCCTGAAACTCGATATTCCTACCTTAGCCTTCCCAGTGCTGGGATTACAGGCATGTGTCACCACACCTAGCCCAGCTTTCACTTTCTTTTATAAATCTGCTTGTGAATATTTAGAAAAATATTAGAAAGTGATTTAATGTGCTCTAATTATGAAACTCCAGTGTTCATCTTCACAATATTCTCTTTATCAATCTTGTATTCCATTTACAGACAGGGCAAGACACAGCTGAGAAATTCGTGTTAAAAAGGAGTGAAACTATAGATTGTGGTTTAGGGGTGTGTGTATGTATGTGTGTGTAAAAAATGTTTTCTATTTTTAAAAATTATTTTACAGTTATTTTTGAGTTATCATACAGGGATTTCATTGTGATAATTCCATACACACGTACAAAAAATGTTATTCTAAATATGTACCTTGAAATTGGTCTAGCTAAGTATTTGGTTATACATTCTTAGACCCAGATTATTATATTTCATGTAATTTATATTCCATGCAGTGCTGATAGATACACAATCTATTCCTTTCACCATATTAAAAATACAAAACAGAAACAGTTTTTGTTTAGATATAGTTTGAACCTCATATAGCTATAAAATGCAAACCACCTAGTAAATGCTTCCAGGTACTCATTAGTCTAAAATAGGCTACATGGGCCTGCAGAAAGGCTTACAGATGGCAGCATAATATATTTATTGGCTGGGAGCCATTGGCGCCACGCCTGTAATCCTAGCTACTCAGGAGGCAGAGATCAGGAGGATCACAGTTCGAAGGCAACCCCCACAAATAGTTTGTGAGACCCTAGCCTAAAAAAAAAACCTTCACAAAAATAGGGCTGGTGAAGTGGTTCAAGGTGAAGGTCCTGAGCTCATCCCCAGTACTGGGGGAAAAAAAAAATGTATATATATATATATATATATATATAAAATGCTTTTTTTTACCTAACACATAGATTTTACTTTATTTTCCCGTTTTTGTATAAGACAAGTAGTTTTTGTCCTTTAAAGATGTGGGAAATTAAGGGTATAAAAATAAAATTGCTCACATTCAAAATCACTGAAAACAGTAATTTAATGAACCATTCACATACTATTTAGAATTGAGAGCTGGTGTGTCATCTAAGTAGGCCACTTTTAGAGTTTAGCTATGTACCTGTAGTCTCAGCAACTTAGGAGACTGAGGCAGGAGGAGCACTTCAGTTTCACGTTGCCAACTTAGGCAATATAGTGAGACTTTTTTTAAAAAAAAGTTAATGTATGCTAATTCAAAAATAAATTTTTTTAAAAAGTTAAATTTCCTTAGTCCTTAAAATTTTCAAGCTCAATTATTCTCCCATCCAGTGTTCTAAAACTTGAAAGACTTGCCTTAACATAGTACAGCAGTGTTCTTTTTGTGGAGTGGGCAGGGAATTTCAGGCATGTTCTTGCCACCCACATGCCAAGGAAAGCTATAGTCTTTGGTTGCCTGAGGTTAGTGAATGGAGCAAAAAGGTGTTGGTGTTGTTGTTTTTTTTTTTAATCTCAGGGATTTGTAGAGATTGTTTATTCATTCACTCATCAAACATTTATTCAGCTTTTTTTTTCCTTACCCCTCCTCCCCCAAAAGGAAAGGCCTGTTAGTGATTTTATTGTCTAATTTTCTTCTTCTGTCTAAGACAAGCATCCTAGTGTAATCAGCAGTTAGGGACCATGCATTTTCCACACAGAAAGATTGATAAAAAAAAAGTAGAATAGTTGCAGTTTGGGTAAACCATGTGACTCCAGCAAAATAAAAGAATGCACAATGAGTTTGTGGATAAAAACAGGATCCCTTGAAGGGTATTTTCCATGGTTCTTTCATACTTCTATTCCCTATTGCTGCTGGGTTCCAGAGAAGTTGATGGATCTTCCATGCATAAAGGAGAAGAGCTGCAACCTGAAATCCAGGAAGTCATTTTTTGCTTTCTCTAACCCAGGGAATACTCACATTTGGGCAGTTGTCCTTGGCAGTACTCATATTTGGGGGACAGATCATTCTTTTTAGGATTTTGTTGTGTACACTATAGGATATTAGCACCAATTTCAACTCAGAGCCCAGAGGCACTTAAAGATACCTGATTCCTGCCATTGGGAAGTTCAAAGTTGGGAGGGGGGTAAGTAAGTAAGTACAGCAAATGCTGAACTGCTGTTACAATAGAGAGGGCAAAGCACAATAGAGGAAGAGACCTACGGGTCCGTAGTGTAGCGGGAATTAGAAATTGAGAACACACAGAAAAAGTTTCATGGAGAAGCTCATGCTTAAATTGAGCCTTCCCCAGAGAAGAGAGCGGCTACCAGCAAAGACACAGAAGTAGGAGACACTAAGATGTTATTTTTCCCAGTGAGAGTAGAGTGTAAGCAAGAACTTTGTGGTCAGACATGGATTTGTTTTTGGCTAGTGGTTTGTAACCCCTACGAAAGTTATTTAATCTTGCTACACCTGAGTTTCTTCCTTTGTAAAACCAGGATGGTAATAAACCTCTCTCAAAGAGTTGTTATTCACTTAACAGTTTATGTGTTAGGCGCTTCATTAGGCCCTGGGAATATAGCAGTGAACAACAACAAAAATGTCTGAGTGAGGAAGATAGAACTGACTGGATCATGAAAGTATGCTATGAGTTAACAAAGATACTCTCAGCCAAGGAGAGCAAGTTGTTAAATAAAACCCAAGATTTCATTTTACCCGAAAAGAAATATATGGTATGAGTTTAGGTGAACAAATTAAGAATTAATTTGTATTTCTTGGATGCAAACAACTTTTTCTAGTTTTCCTTCTATCTCTTGTATAGGCCAACTTTTTTGTCCTTAGTTTTACATATAGTTTCCTCTTTCTCTTCCTTCATACTTACTACTCAGAACCTTAAGACTGGTCACTAAGTGTGTACTTGTTGTGGCTAGTGACTGTTCGTGTTGATATTAAGGCATGCAGATTAGATAGCCTTCATTAATAATGCAGATTGTCAGCATAATAGGGTAATTCTACTTACCTATCAAATACAATATGTTGAATTTACTGTGTCCTTTATTCTACACAGAGTTCATCCAGAAACTCTCTGAAGTTTATATTAAGGCTATGAAATTAAATAAATATGAATTAGACTATATATTGAAAAGTGTTCCAGAGGAAATTAGGGAAGATGGTTTAACATGTCCAGCTTGAGGCTTGATATTTGAGAAAAAATTGTTTTTAAAGCAATTCTTGCTAGAATATTGTTGAAATGTTACCTTTTCTTGCCCAAATATGGATCTAAAAATACTGTTACTGGATTTGCTGAAAAAGGTTAATTATGCAGAGGAAAAAGACTGGCATGAAGTTTAACTTCAAATTGAAAATCTTTTTTTTCAGTACTGGGGTTTGAACTCAGGGCCTACACCTTGAGCCACTCCACCAGACCCTTTTTTGTGATGTGCTTTTTCAAGATAGGGTCTCGTGAACTATATACCAACTTTAGTGATACTAATATTAACAAATTCTTATAACCCACTACCATTGGACCAGTAGCAGAGGGGAAGTTTTAATGTTTTCTTTGGGCAAGAGGAAATATTGTT